TGCTGAACAGTGAGTAGGAGGGAGGGAGGGGACCTGCATAGCTCAGTCCAAGAGACACAGGGAAGACTGAACAGCGAGGGGTGGAAGCTTCGTGCCTGGGACTGGATGAGACGCTAGGGAACAATCCTGCACTGGCCCTTGGTGGGGGGGAAAGGACGGAGTGGGACCTAATGGGGCTTCTCCATCTCTAACGTCTATGGTTCTATGACACACAGGGCCCAGACGGGAGGAGCCGGTGCCAGCGTGCTGCCTGTAGTTCACACTCTTAGCGAGGATACTCAGGGATTTAACATCCTCATGTTGCCAGCGGAGAGCTCGATTTACAGGGTTAGGGGACAGCGTGGTTTGGCATGATAATCCACCTGCAGCCCCACACCACCTCCGAGCTGTGACCTTCTCAGATCTCATAAGCTAATCAGGATTGGGCCAGGTCAGTGCTTGGATGGGAAACATTCAAGGAAAACACAGGGTGCTGCAGGAAGTGGTGCTGGTGATGCTGTAGGTGGGCTCTCCTCAGCCAGGGCTGAATCTAGAACGATCTTGAGGGAGCGCTGAGCTGCTGGAGGCACTCTGTCTTGTGATGTTAGATTGGAGTCCTACCACTTACCCAGAGATCGCTGCAGCTTTGGGGAGTTGCCAACCCCGTGTCCCGGATAACCCCATTCTGCATCCATGGAGTTCCAGCTGGAGAGGAGATTTTCACTGCCTTTTGCCCCATTTCCTATCATTAACTTGAGCCAGTTGCTTATGGAAGATTGCAAAGTGCTTTGGGGTCCCTCAGGATGGAAGGTGCTCGTAGTGACAGTGACAAGACATCGCTTGGCCTCGGACACTTGCGTAGTCTCATTCTACTTCACCTTTTATAGGCCAGAATCTTCTAGGTAATCTGTGTGATCTAGTTAAAATGCCTGCAGCTTATGGTGGGACTCGCTTCAGTGCATCAAGCTTCAACAGATACCTGCATTGCAGGCTCAGGGCTTTGCTGCCCTCCCTGGGATTTCATGAGGTGTAAAACTGTGACTAGGGTATGCCAAAGAGGGGAAACCAAGTCAAGGACCTTCCCATGAGAGACCTCGTCCTCCATCTCCAGACTCTTCCTGGTTCCTCTCCTGGCAGCAGTGGTCTGAGTGCAAGATGGGGGAAGCCCTGGATGTCAGTGTTGCTTAGACAGCAAAACAGAGCTGCTTTGCCAGAAGCAGCAGGTTCCCCCAGCCAGGGGAGTCCCAACCTGCCTTCCAAGAGCCACGCTCCATAAAAGGCTGAGTGAGGTGACAGCTCAAGTGGCAGCACACTGGAGTGACCTGGATAAGGAACTGTTGGTTTCTGCTGGCACAGGGGTGCCCAGCTTGAATCTGTTGATGAGGCATGAACCATCCTGCTGCCCAGGGGAGGAAGAGGTGTTAAACTTGCTGGTTCCTGTAGCTCGCCAGGTGATTCCAAAGCCCTATGCTGTTCCATTTGTCCTCTGCTTTCAAGGCATCTCGCTCATGAGGGACTAGTAACACTGCTTTTGGGACACAGGCACAGTGAGCAAGCTCTGCCTGCAGAGGGAAGCATGTTTCATGCCATTTGGCCATTGTCTCCTTGGAGCCATGGATCACAAGACTGAGAGGTACTTTCTCCACCATCAACAACCACAAGAGTCTCAGCCCCTCCCTCCACCATGCCTCTGGGAGCCCCCAATAACTTTGCTGTTTGGCATGTGAGGCATCACCCTTCACTGTGCCACAGCTGCCTCCCTGCGTGCCCTGTGAGGCAGAGGACACTGACGGCAGCCAAGGAAAAGCCTGTCAGCAGCAGTGAGTGCTCAGCTGAGCACAAGCACCAGGCTGCCCCAGCAGCTGTCTTGCTTGGTGAATGCCAGTGGTGGCACTGGGCCCTCTGTGTGTTCTGGCACACCCGTCCCCTGACAGTTGTGGGATAGCTGTGGGCATCCTTGTCCCGGGACTGTGGCATACTGCTCAGCTTGCAAAGGCAAGGTGCTGGAGCCAAGGCCTGCCGTGTGCTTACACAGAGAGCTTTCCAGCCCCACATGCTGCGCAGGGGATTTTGGGAGGAGCAGCTTTTCAGTGTGCGGTGAGGAACAGCATCTGCCTGGTCCAGCCAGGGTCTCCTGTGGATCTGGCAGCTGTTGCCAGCTCACAAGAGACTACCTGGATTTCAGGCCCATCTTGGGCAGAGCTGCTGACTACTTCCTTCTTCTCTTGCAGCCAGTGGTTGCCTAAAACCATTAATTCCTGTGACCCAGTGGCTGCTGCCAACCTGGTGATCCTGAGAGTGCTTGCTGACAATAAAAGTGGCCATTCCTTTGCTGGGAACAGTCTGTGTAATGAGGGATTGAGGAACTTCTGCCACAGAACTGTGCCCAAAGACTTCCATGGGGAACTGCCTCTTGCACGGGGCCATCCAGCTGGAGAGGATTAGAGAGCCAGAAGTCACGGTTGGTGCAGTCAATGCCTTGATAGATCCTTGCTGGTGTTGGGATGAGTGTAAAAGAACAAACTGCAGCTTTCCTGGAAGCCTGGACATGTAGCTCGTGGAGCTTTGAGGCAGGAGGATCTTGTTTCCCTTAGTCCTAAATCATTGGCCTGTGGGGCAGTTAACTTTGCTTTTGATTCTGCTGCAGCAGAATCTCTGCTCATACACTGTAGCATGTCCTTTCTACTCAAGCCATTGATGTCTCCCACCTAGATCTGCTGCTCATCCACTTTGGGCTGGTTAGGGGGAGTTCTTGGGCGCATCAATAGTTGCAGATTCTATGGCTGAATACTCAGCTGCAGGCTAGGGAGCTTCCTCCAGCTGGAACTTGCCCGTCCCCCTGTGGTGGTCAGCAAGTGAACCCTGCTGGGCCTCCAATTGCTCAAGAGCTGTCCTGCGTTTCCTCGGGACAGAGGAAATCTGTACAGTGTGAATGCCCATGTGTTGGTCCTGTGGGAGTCTGGGTCTTTCCTGGAGAGCCTACCTGTATATAGGAGTTGCAAATGGACCCACCACTCCCTTTGGATGCTGAGATCTGCTGCTTTCCTTGCAGGTGTCTGCTTCATGCATGGCTCATGGTTAGTCAGTACTGTAGAAGGCAGTTCTTTTTCCCAGCCACGTGGGTAACCAGGACTCACGAGAGACTTGGACGAAGGTGCTCTTTTAGCTCATCAGCCTTTGAGATGGATGCAGGTTCTCTGCAGAGCAAATGAGCTGGAATTATCATCCAAGCCAGGATGATATTGTCACCACCTGAGACTAAGTGTCTGCCACACACACCTCTTACGTGCAGGTGATCCCCTCTTTCCTTAGGGGAATGGACTGCATCCCTAGGGCTGGGGCAAAGTGGTCTCACTGCTTTCTGGGGTATCTCGTAATGCTACTGCTAGCTCTGTCACCTTCTTCCTAGGGATCTCGAAGCACTTTGCCAAGATATTTGTAGCAGGAAGATGGAGGCACAGGGAGGGGTCATGGCTCGGTACAGCAAGCCAATGGGCAGAGCTGGGAATAGAGCCCTGGATTCCTCTCTCTACAAGGGGCTGGGATTTCTCTGGATCTGCTATGATGGGGATGGGATGGATTGCAAGGGAGCACAAAATTACATGGGAATGACTTGATTTTGAGTTGTAGTGCCATCTGAGCTGCTAGGGCTAGAGATTGTGGAAACACTGACTGTTCCTGGCATGGCCAGGAACAGTTTCTGGGGAGCCTGTCCCTGCCCTCTGGCTGCTGCCACCTCCAGTCCCAGCAGTGGGACCTGTTGGCCCAGGAGCTCTTGAACTTAAGAGTTGTTGCTTTCTCTTACAGGTCAGACTTCAGATCCCAAACCACCTGCCCCTTCCCCACAGAAGGCAGAGACTAATGTGGTAAGGCCTGTTGGAGGTAGGAGTTTGCAAGATAGCACAAAGGGGCTGTTCCTAAAGAGAGGATAGATCTGCCATTGCTCAGGGAAATTTCATTATTCTACAACCAATGCATTTTAAGATGTCTGGGTAGTGGGAGCTGGTAAGAGGTGCTGGCAAGGGCAGCATCAGCATATTTCCTGCAAGGGAGAAGAATAACCATTCCCCAGGAATCGATGATGGGCTTCAGAACAGCTTGCCACTGTGGCATTGCCTCCTCTTTGCATGGTGCTCCCCTGTGTCTGGATATAGTCACTGTCTCCCTGTGTTCCCTGCTGCCCCGTGGGGCAGGAGCAACCAGTGCCAGACTCCCTGCTGGCTGCTGCAGAGATGCCACACAGGCTTGCTGCGTGCCCAGAGCAGCTTGGCAGTCCTGGGTCTAACTCTGGGAGCGTGTGTGTGCACATTGGGGACTGCCAGGCTCCAGAAAGTGCTTTGGGAGTCTCTCTAGTGGTTGGGAAGAGGTGGTGCTGCCTTAGGTAGACACCAACCTCCTGCTTTTTGCGTTTCGTCAGCTGTCAGCAAAGACCTCAGCCCAGATGTCTCCAGCCGTACCACCTCCTCCGCCCCCTCCAGTTCCAGCCACCCCTCGGAAAAACAAAGCTGCCATGTGTAAACCACTAATGCAGAACCGGGGCGTTTCCTGCAAGATAGAAATGAAGTCCAAAGGATGTCAGACAGGTAGGAAAAGAAGACATGACTGCAGGATTACAGGGGTAATGTCTTTTGGGAAGACAAGTGACATGTTCCTGCTCCAGACTAAATGTGAATCCAGCTTGAAATGTTGTACATAGTGGCTGGGTGTTTGGCAGCATGTTGAGGAGTCTCAGGGCAGTGCAGGGCACACATGGCAAGACTGGAGGTAGGGAGCCCGTTTCCATCAGCACAAAAGGAGAGACACGGAGAGCACTGCATCATGATCCCACTTCTTGTGGGACAGCTCCTGTTCCTCTGGAGATTGTCAGCTTGTCTGAGGGGCCATGTGCTGAGCAGGTCTCACTGTAGCTCCTGTCAGACATGTGTGCGGTCCCCAGCATATGTAAGGCAATTAGATCTCTCAGCAGGGCCATGTAAGAGCAGGGCTTGCACCCCTGGCTAAGGCAAGCCTCTCTTGTTGTAGGGCTGTTTGGCTTGCTGCTGCTCCAGCTCTGCCCATGAGTCACAGAAGCTAGTGGCTTGAAGGGCCATGGTGCTGGATGGCTGGGGGCATGGCAGTGTGCAGTGGGGCTGGGTGGAGGAGCTGCTGGGAGCAAGCTCACTGATGTACTTTTGCTCTTGTCAGAGGCTGACTGGAAGCCCCAGGTGATTGTGTTGCCAATCCCCGTCCCGATCTTCGTGCCTGTGCCTATGCATATGTACTGCCAGAAAGTACCTGTGCCTTTCTCCATGCCTGTCCCGGTAAGCGACACACTCCACCTGCTCGTGTTCTCCTACTGTCTCTATCCTGCCTTGCTGCAGCCTTCCTGCTTCTCTGTTTGTCCTCTTCTCCCGCCC